ACTGAAAATGTAATTTGCTATATACCATTGGATGCGCCGTGAGCTGCGCTACAAAACTACATATGTGCCTTTTCAATTCAAGCGAAATTACAAATTTGTCAGTCATTTACTTTTTTTGAATTTTTCAGCATTTTCCGAAAAAAAAAAATATTTTCAATGTTAAAATACATTGTTGTTTGATTCTAATACCACCATTGGATAGACCAAACAAAGTTGTCTATCATACATAAGTTTCGCAAAAGTCTGCCATTCTAAAGGTTGTTTTTGAAAGAAATTTTTGTATGACTCAAAAAAGTTTTGGTCCAATACTTTTTTGAGCAACTGTATATCTAACTTCACCTTCCAGGGAGAGATACCTTCAGTGTGTTTTTTCGTCCTCACCCTCAGTGAGAGGGATACCCGCTATTTTTGGAAAAAAAACGATTTTTGGAAATTCTTCCAATTTCTGGAGACTCATTTGGTTTCCTGAAAACTAATACAAAGAATCATCTGGATTATGGCCATTATGTCTGTAAAAGATTTTGTTTAAGTGATTAGGAAATTAATTGGCTACTGGCAAAATAAACTAATTCATCAATCATTTTTTTTATTTTACGTAAGAATTTATAGCGAAGTTTTCGATCTCTTTTCAAAGTGTCATTTTCAACAGTGAATTAGTTGAAAGAAATTCAGATAATATATGAAACAATTTCTTTCTCTTTTCTATTCTTTTCTTTTTAAAAATTGCACTGTGATGACCCCATTTCTTTCCTTCGCAGTACAATGTTTAAGAGAGGTCGAAAGCTTCACTATAATTTTTATGTAAAATAAAAGATGATTGATGAATTGGTTTATCTGGCCATTATTCTATTCGCCTATATTTCATCAAACAAAGGCAGCTTGTTTTATCGTTGCATTGTTTTGTTTTAAAATGGACAAAACTCTCTGTGACTAATTTTTGACACTGCGGAAAAGATCATTTTTTTGCTACACGATGAATTCTTTCTCTTATTTCACCAATTGATGAATCATTGTTTTTAACTTTATCCCATTGTATATTATTACAAAAAATGAATTTGTTCACAGTATCAAAACTTTGTCGGACAAAATGTTGTGTACTTTGAAAACAAAAAGTGCAAATATAAGAAAAGATGCCTTTTGTAACTTTTACAGCTTTCCACGTCATATCTTGTGTTATATTTTGTTTTTTTTAATATGATGTATTAGATGATGAAAAAACGAAATAGAAAAAGAAACCTTGTCGTCCAATGAAGACTCTATAAAATCCTGGTTCGTTGTCCACATCAGTACTGCATCTGACTCTTTTTACTTGTTATCTATCCTCGATAAATCTAAGCAGTTAATAGGAGAGAAACACACATTCTTTATCTTTCATAATAAATATTCTGTTCTCATTGTAATTCAGGACGACGAATATGGTGAAAAAAATTCTTATCACTGGTGCATCAGGTTTGATTGGTGGTATACTAATTGAACATCTATCAAAAAACCCTAACTATGATATATATGGGATCGATAAACATATTGGATTATCGATACGTTATGAACTTGAAAAAAATCCATCAATATTACAGAAACAACAACCAATATTACCATCAAAAGATAAATTTTATATATGTGATATGAATGATAAAAATCAACTTTCGCAAATTATTCAAGATAATAAAATCAATATTATTATTCATTTAGCAGCAGTTTTAGAAACAGAAACAGTTGAAAATATCAATTCTATTAATTGTCATGGTACAAAAACTCTTTTTGATATAGCAACAAAACAAGATCATATTGAAATGATAATATATGCTAGTTCAACCATGGCTGTTTTTGGATATTTAGAAAATGAACCCTATTTATCATTAACAAAAAATGTTCAACCAAAACAAATGTTAAAAAAAATAACAGTCAATGATCCACCGATGCCATCACATTTAAATCAGTCTGTTGAAGCTTATTGTAACAGTAAAATATATGGAGAAGAATTAGCGAAAAAATACGCATCAAATGATGAAATAAATATTAAATTTATTTGTGCAAGATTGGGTTGTATTAATATAAGTGATAATCCATCTCGTGTTTATTATTGGTCAGATAGATCAACATGGTGTAGTCATCGAGATTTATGTCAATTTGTTGATCGAGTTTTAGAAAATCAATTCAAACTTAAAAAATTTCAAATTTATTTTGTTTCTTCAAATAATGATTTTGCTTGGACTGATTTCGATAATTGTCGACAAGATTTAAATTATGCGCCTCAAGATGGAGCACACTGGAATTAGACATACAATAGAATATAGAACCCGCACTAGATTTTATTCAGTGTGCATTTTAACATAGAGATTGTACGAGAACAAGAAGAAAGAGTTTATTATTTTATCAATTTTAAATTTAAAAAAATTAATTCAATCAATAAAATCAGTTTTTCATTTTTTTGTTTGTTCGAAACATCAATTGTTTTATATGTGAGGGTGTGAGTGAAGAGAGCATTAAAACTCACACCCTAAATTCGCAAACTTCTCGTGAAACCGAATAAATGAACAAGAAGGACAATTATGCACATAGTATTTTAAATCATCAAATCAGAACCAAAATTCAACAACAGTTTTGAATGCATCTGGACGTTTATCAAGATATTTATCTTTAAATCATGCATATTTAATCATAGCAGTGAAGATAGGCGAGAATAATCAGTTAAGAATAAGTGAGTGTAGTTTAAGTATATTATTGAGTTCGGTGATATCTGGATCTGTATGATCAAGAAGAATCCGATCATACAGACGACGAGCAATTACTTCATTGACGATGGAAGAATTAGAAGACGTTTCCTGTAGACAGGCATGTTCACTATGAAATAGACGTGCGCTGTAAATATCAAATGAATCAATACTTCCATCTTTGAGCAAGAATGTATCTAGGTTTTTTTACTAATCAATCAGTATGTTAAAGAAATTCGTATCTTCGACAACAAACGTTGATTTATCTTCAAATTCTCGGATGTTAATCAGTACTATATATCTCTTAGTGTTCATGATTTTGAGGTGAATCGAAGTATATTTAATTAAGATCTCGAATAAGCTAGTAGAGTAATACGGTAAAACTTGTAATAGTAATAATTGTATATCTCTGCTCAGGATGTCTAGAAAACCGACCCTTGTAGGATTTTTTAATAGCTTATCAAGGTTTATCGTATGAGCATCTATTCGATCCAAGAGTGATTTGACAGTTGAAGATGTTTCCTCATAAGATTCATATGCAAATCATATGTTGAAAGAGTTCTTTGTATTGTATTGCTTAATGTCTAGTTGAAGAATTTTATTTCTATTGATTCATGTCTATTTAACGATGTATTCCACTACCATCTTTTACACAAAAATTTTCGAGTAGTTCACTATAAGAGAAATATCATGTGTGTGAAACATTCAAGCCTGTTCAGAAATAGAAATGTTTCTATTTCTCACACTATTGATCGTGTTATCTTTACTATTGATTTCGAACTGTCCTCATGTCTAGATGATCGATCGATGGTTCTGCTGAATTACATAATCATACACATATCGAAAAAAAGTTTTTTTTCAAAAAAAAATATTTGTAGAACTATGAATCATCGCATTACGTTATTTGCACAGAAAACTCATGCAAATAAATAATTTGTTTAAAAAAGTTTTTTTTCTCGCTCGATACTTTGAACACCAGTTCTTTATACAGGGTATCCCAAAAGTCCGTCGGAAAAATAAATTCGTAGAATTCCACTATTTATCGTACATAATCAACTAATTTTTTTTTTGATAATAGATATAAGTGTGAAGTTTTTAATTGCATGGACGAACTTCATAGGTACTGTTCAAAGTCATAACTTCCGACTGAAATAGAAAAAGCATCTCTTTTTCGATTTCACAAAAAAAGCACTTCCCAATATTTCGCCTTTAATACTTTAATTTGTTGCGTTTTTCGTCACAATTATATCGGCTACATTTTACTCTATCGTTTATATGGATTTGTTGTACCATATTATTACCAAAACAAACTTGATAATGCCAAGTTAGACAATCATCAAATCCATTAGATTGCTTTTATTTGTGGAACGAAGACTGGTGATCTGGAAGAGATAAACAAATTTTATGAGCTTCATGAACATCGAACTTGGCATTATCAGACTTGTTTTGGTAATAATATGGTACAACAAATCCATATAAACGATAGAGTAAAATGTAGCCGATATAATTGTGACGAAAAACGCAACAAATTAAAGTATTAAAGGCGAAATATTGGGAAGTGCTTTTTTTGTGAAATCAAAAAAGAGATACTTTTTCTATTTCAATCGAAAGTTATAACTTTGAACAGTATCTATGAAGTTCGTCCATGCAATTAAAATCTTCACACTTATATCTATTATCGAAAGAAAAATTGATTATGTACGATAAATAGTGGAATTCTACGAATTTATTTTTCCGACGGACTTTTGGGACACCCTGTATATATATATACTGATAGAGCATACGATCATCTCTATTCACAAGAAACTATGTTCTATTAATATTAATAAAAGAGACCAAATCAAATAGGTTGGATAGTTTTCAACGATGCATATAAAATATCATTCATAAATAAATATAAAGCCAAGAAAGGAAGAGTGATAATTCCGAGACACCATAAAATCATATTGTAACGTACGATACAAATAAAAGTATTATTTAGATAATCGTATGTAGATCGATGTATATCAATATAGGCAGCAGGTGTGATTGCAAAACTTTTGCCAATAGGTGATTGTTTGTATTCGCAAAATAACATCCCAACTTGATGATGTATGAGTGCATTCCAATTTTCTGTAGCAGCAAAAAGCATAATGTCCAATATTACAATTACAGTAGAAAAATCATCTCACCTGAGAACGACTTACAAAAGTAAATATCGATAGTAGCACCAAAACACATGTATAAATCCATCTAAGAGTAATTGACATTTCAAAAAGGCTTGTCGAGATAAATTTCAAATAGCCGAAAAATATTTTGTAATAGATAGAATAATATATGATGTAGTAAATAGGACGAAAGATGACATACCAGAGTACATTCACATACTTGAACAGCATATGAATCAATCTTCTAAGTAATTGCAAATTCTTTTGTAACCGATATTGAAGATAGTCACATCGTTCCCACCAATAGAAAAACCAAGACGATTGTGGCGGCTGTGCAAAAATTTGATGAAATAAATAAAAAAATAACAAATATTTCCCTTCTCAAATTAACTGACCTGCTCATCAATCCATACGTGAATGTATGGATTAGAGAATTGACATGTGAATCTTCCAACTGTCAGCCGCCGTGTTCCGTAAACCGTCCATTCTGGTTTTATTAACCAGTCATTTTGTTGGGTTTGTGATATCAAAGGATACATAAACGATGCATTGGATAAGTGTCTAAATCCATCAATCATATAAATAAAAACTGCCGATGAATGCGCAGATGTTACACGTAAACGTTCAATAAATGGAAAAGCGTGACACAATTTATTGACAAGATGTTTGTCATCCACTATCCAGCCCGTATTGATGGCAAGTGTTCTAATCTGTTCGAAGCGTATTTTTTGTACACGCTCAAGAAAGTCCGATAAATTGCTTGTAATCGATAATGTGTGAAGATGGGGTATTCGAAGCAAATAAAGAGCAGTCGATGGTAAATTAGTAATCGGCCACGATATAATAACATGTGTTACTTTACTCATAGGAACGATATTGGAAAGAGTTTCAAGTTGAATAATGTCACTCAGTTTCAATGTACGAACATTAGGAAAGTAATGAGATTTATTATTAGACGATTTTGATGGTTCCAGTTCCGTTATATGATTGAAGAAAATATTCTCGTTGATTGCTGTTGAACGGATAGAAGGACAGAAGTCTATGCCGACAGATGTGTCAGCAAAGTGTGTTATCGAAAAAAAATGATTACGGTCGTAAGCCACAAACCAACGCTTTTCTTCGAGTCAAAACCAAGTGCGAAATGAATCGAGAATATCTTCCACTAATTCCACATTTACAATGAAGAAGAAGTTCAATGTGACCAAAGATTCGCTTATACTTTTCCATCGAAACCCATCAACTAGATCCATAGAACATGCAGTATGAAGCTTCAGATGTTTGAGACGAGGCAAAGTCCGAAGAATCTGTCCCATCTGATCCATAGTTACTAAAGAACCTACAAAAAGAATATCCGATTTGATAATATTCACTTTCCAGTCACAACATTTCTTTCTTTCACAAAAGTAAAATTAAATACCGATAAAAATATCTACCTTCTACTTTCAAAATAAGACGAGTGAGCCAAGGTAATTGAAAAGCTAAAGCAATGTCTGAACCATTGTTTTCCAAACAAATGTCTACTGATTGAAGTTTTGGTGCATTTTGACAAATATATTGAAACGTAGTAATCGACGATCTCTCCATACTAAACGGAAGAAGATCAAACCAATCATATCAGGCAAACTGTTTGCTATCAGTTACCCTCAATCGAGTCAATTAACAAATTACTGGACTAGAAATCAATGTGCGCATATCGCAGTCATCTAACGATATTTGACAGTCCCGATTAAGTTTATCGATAAAATTTACAATATCTTTCATCAATTGTTTATCAATATTGATTAATCTGAGTGATCGAAGTCTGAAGAAATTTTCGATTCGATAGTGTGTAAAGAAGAGGTGACATTGTTTGGGTGTATCATCTAGACCAGAAAGTGTCGATGAGATAATTTGATCAGCTGTAATCGTACGACAAACGAGATCAAAATGAGTTTTGAGAATAGACTTAAAATCAACTCGATAATTTGTATAGGAAACTAAAATAGCATCAATATAGGAACTGACACCAGTAAATGTGAGAAGAATTTCATGTGCTAAAAAGTAACTAAAGAGAGCGTGCAATAATTCAACTGGTAAGATATCCAGGAGAGAACGAGCCATTGAAGAGAATCTAAAAGAAATAGAATGAATAACATTAGAAAGTAGTGATGAAATAATCATTTTCTTATCTATCTTGTTATACTCTGATTATTACAGCAAAAGAAAAAAAAGTGTGCGACGAATTCTTTTTTTAAATATGTGTGCAGTATGACAACAGAGTTTTATCCCTTGACTACGAACGTTGTATTGGTATAAATGAAAACAAATAGAAGTGAAAGATTATTTTTAAAAGGAAGTCGATAAAGAACATATACCCTTTTCACGTTTTCATGTTAGAGATGGACATCTAGCGATGAGTTATATTCAAACACTTTATTATTCATCCGATTCAAATTATAAAGTACGAAAAACTCTTATTTTATACTTACTTTATTCAATTATGATTTTTCTTTCATCTTATAATCGCTCATGATTAATCCAATGGAACATATTTGGATAATTGAAGATTTTAATGCCATACTCTTTGCCATTCAATCGATCAAATAACATTAAACAAACATTATATGTTTAAAACTTGTTCGTTATTAATTCGCACACATATAGAATTGTTAGAGTACAGAATGTGGGGTTTGGGTGTAGATTTCCCCTTTCCGATCATCCACACTCAGTTTACGTCAGTTTTAAAGATCGTAAATGGCTTGATCTTTTTATTTCAATCAATGATGATGGTTCAAAACAGTCTTGATTAGAATTGTTCGTATGCAAAAAAATTTTAAGTAAGACTCTATCACCCAACAAGAAATCAGCTCATTTGATTAAATCGAGATGGAGATATTCAAAATTCTTATCGTAATGTTATTTATTGACCATTCTGTACTTCATCTTAACTTGAACATCGAAATACTTTTCCTCATAAGTATATGTTGACATGAAACCTTTTCTGATTACGAGAAAATGATTCACTTTTATTAGAGAGTACAATAAAGATTCAAGATTGATACAATACATTTAAGGTACTGATATAGATAAAAATTGAACGATAATTAACATATTTCTCAATATACAATCAATAAAAACTGAGTCATGTTATGAACATGAAAATTTCAGTTGCTTGCTATATATGATGATTGATATGATTATTGTTAATTTTTACAATCTTTTCCGCTGTTTGAATTGGAGCAGGACCAACACGTTGACCAATCGAAAAAATTTTACCATATGGTTGATTTTTTGAAAATCTTGTCCATTTACAACTTAGAAGAGCTCGAAGTTCTTGGCGAAAAAGTCGTGCAGTAAGTGCATAAACAACACATGAGGAACCATTATTGGCATAGGCTAAGAAACGAAAACAAACAGATAGAAGAGCTTCCAGGCTACGTTGCCATTGAGATTTTATCCAAGTACTACTGACACCAGCATAGACACTCCATACTGCAAATGGCATGAACAATACAATAAACGATAGCACCTATACAAAGGAATAGTTATTTTCGTAGATATAGGATGTAAATTTGTCTTACTTGAACAAGAAGCATACGAAGAAGTTGAGTATTAAGTGTTTGATGTTGTATATGTGAACGAACACATACACCATTTCTTTTAGCCGTGTTAACTAGTAATCTTTTTGTCTTTTTCACATTTGAAATGGTAAGTAAAGCAAAGACAACATAGAAAATAGGTGTCATAAACGCATACACAACCATATAATAGATGTACAGAAACAGTATATAATTGTATGAAGTTGAGCATTGACCGACTCTAACGAACTTGATTTCGGTCATAAGATGAATGTGAGTAATAAAAAAGAAAATTGTAATCAAGACAACAACTCGTTTGGCTATTTTGAGTTGACTAAATTGACGAATACAAGCTCGTTTATGAGTAGTGCAATATCGATCGATACATGCAAGAAGAATAAACCAAGAGGAAAGAAATAGTGTAGTATAATAGACATATGGTATAAATTTACACAAAAAAATTGATTGATTGGTAATTATTATGCCAAAGATAGTATTAAGGATATATACTAACAGACCGAATAAGATACATATTACATTGGTAACACTTGCACCAAGTAAATATAGAGAACATGAATTTTTTCGTAGTTTAGGCCGAGAAAGTACAAGAATACTTAATATGTTACTTGTTTGACCGGCTACAAGCAGTCCTATCATTGGCCATTGTTTCAATATGTTTGTTGCTTCATTCATCTTCTCCATTTCAATGCGTCTGAATACAGAAAAAGTAAAAGTAATTGTTAATCTACTTGATTTGATCCTTTCTTAGCTTACTTCTTAAGACACTTCATTTTACGCTAATGATGACTACTAATAGCCTATTGACGTCATCAAAAAATATTTTAGATTTAAGAGCACGCAATAAGGTAAATATGAGCTCTAAAAAGTCACCTCAAAGAAAACAATTAATCGTATATGAGAAATATACTCTTGAACAAGAATATTTTCTCCTTCTCATTCTTTTTCGTCTGTGTTGTTTTATTTTGTATCAAGTTTATTATCAATTAGAAGAAGTACGAAATGGATACTCTGCATACCCATGAAAAAAAATTTTGGAAAAAATTTCGTTTGAACGCGTTTTTTTTAAAGCTCGCATGTGTTCACTAAACTCTAAACGCAGTTTTTAAAACGCGTTCTTTTTCACTAATAACGCAAAAAAGGCGTTTGATAACGCATCCTTCTCGATGCGTTTTTTTTATTATAAGACGGAATTTTTTCCTTTAAAAGCCTTTTTCTATCCGTGTACTCATATTACGTATTTTATCACATTTACATCATTTAATTGGACATCTCTCAGTTGCTTCTTTATCAACAAGTATAAAGATTTTCTGAACGGTATATTGTAAATAGTACAGTAAAAGTCGCAATATAATTGACATAGTCAAGTGTTCTTTCTATTTGATGCTTAAACATTTTGCAAGAGACTGTACTGAAGCACTTGAATATAACAACGATACTTCGACTTTTACTGTGCTAATTACGATATACTATTCTAAAACTCTTTATAATTACTGATAAAAAGATTATTGAGAAATGTACAATTAAATGATGTAAATGTGATAAAATAATTAATATGGATACACGGATAGAAAATGCTTTTGAAGGAAAAAAAATGAAAACCTGATCTTTTCTAATTATATATGTTGAAGATGATTCAGGAGAAGACACTCAGGTATATTATCTTACCACTTCGCTTCAACTTCTTCAATTTCTACTAGAACTATATGATGACAATGCCAGAAATACTAGATCTCGGCTTAAGGACATGGGACCAAGATGAAACGTATAGAGAATCACGTTGAACTCAAATGATGATTTTATCAAAAGAAACTTTGCGATTGAAGTTTGCGAGAAAAAATTTTTTCCTGAGCTGCCCCTAGGTTTTTCTTTTGGTGTTAATAATATTCTGTTTTTTAAAATTAAATAGTAAGCTACATTGAATTTTATCATCATATTTCAAATTTTATCTAAAAATATGAACCGTTCAGAATTTATAGTTTTTTGAAAATATGCTAAAATTTCAGCAACTTGTAGCGAAATTCAAAACGCTATAACTTCTAAGCGATTCCATAGTTTTAGATGAAATTCGAAATCTGTCGATAAAATTCGATATAGCTTACTGTTATATTCTAAATAGCAGAATATTACTAACAGCAACAGAAAAATCTAGTGGTAACGCAGGAAAAAAATGTTTTTTGCAAACTCCAATCGCAATTTTTTTTTGATAAAAACTCGTCATTTGGGTTCAACATTATCCCCTATAAGTTTCATCGTGGTCTCATGTCCTGAATATAACCGGGACCTTACAAAATCAAAAAAAATGCCATTACTTTTATATCAAAAACATGAAAAACATCACAGTTCAGATCATGAAACGACAATAAAAATTGATCTATTTCAATTTCATGAACAAAAATATTCATTTTCATTAATGAAATTAAAATATGTGAGTTTCTGTGTCTATTCACAGAAGTTATGAAATTTTTTTAAACTTTTTTGAGTCCTTGAATATACTCTGATATTTTCAGCAACAAATTTACATTGACATACACAACACCTTCACTGGGTAAATTTTCTATTGATGAATGTGTAATTTTTAGGTAAAACTCGATATTTCTCAGAAGTGTGCGTATATATTGTTTATCACTATTAACGTCATGTATCAAATCATTTTGGAAATTGTATAGGAACGAGCAGATGTATATTCAAAAGAGCTTTTAAATTTATAAACAGAAGAGAAGCAAGCAAAAATTTTTTGTAAAATATTTATCCAATGGAAATATTTTATATGTCTTTGTTTTTACAGCTTAACTTCATTGTAACACTACTGGTTGCGCAATTTGAGATAAGAGACGCGGAAGAAAAACAGAAATAGATAAATATCTTTACAGTACATCTATTGACTTTTAAAGAAACACAATACAGGAAGAAATATAAGGAGACAAAAAGAATGACAGATTATGATTGCTATCGATATTACTCAGAAACTATGTTTGGAGAGGACGAACAATTTGTGTTTTAAAGTGCATCATTTGTCGAATGTTGTTTACATACGTATTCGAGCTTTTATTGTAAACAAAATAACTAATAATTCATGATAGCCTTTATAGAAAATCAGTAATGAGAGAAAGAAGCTGGGCTAAAATTCGATTAGTGCAATGTGTAGGTGATAAACAAGATACATTATATGTTTAAAGTATAACTTGAAATGAATTGAAGATGGAATTTCTTCAAATTACAAGTACCTCACGATGCTACCCATTTTATTTAGTATAGTGTATGTAATCTGAAGAAAAATCTTAAAAGTGTCATAAAAATAATGCTCTAAATATGAATCCCTAGCAACTTTGTTAACAATTTTAAAAGAACATCTTATAACTAATGGATACACGGAGTTGTTACCTCGTGATATTATCTTATCTAAAGGTTTTTCAACTTCCTTAAAAAAACTTTTTGAACAAATAAACTTAGTCGAATTTGTCTTCACTTGTACGTTTTCTTGCATAACCATTTCTTACTTTCATAATATTGAAATACATTTTGATATGCTATAGTCAGAAAATTCATCTCTAAAATTGGTATACTTCAACGTTTTATTCTCAAATGTGATCCCGCAAAATATTTTTTTGAATAGCAGCAGACTTTTCCACCATATAACGAAATTTTTACTCAAAATACGAACCTAGATATTCTTTCAACTTGTTTGTGAAGTTAATTATTTTCTTTATAACAAGCGCATTAAAAAATCCGTTCTAACGCATTTGTAAAAGCCTCATTTTTACAAGAAAAAGCACGCATTAAAATACACGTTCAAATACCTTTATTTAAAAAAAACGCATTAAAAACTATGCGTTTAAGTGTGTTTGTATAAAGTTCGTGTGTTCAGCAAAAGAACTCGAAAAAAAACACAATCATATACATGGCAAATAAACGCGTCGTAAACAAAAACCGATGCGTTTAGGCGCGTTTCAGATAAAAAAAGATGCGTTCAAACGCAAAAATAGCGTTTTTTTCTCTAAAAGTTTGTATTGAAACGCGTTTTTGTACAAATTTTTTTTATGGGTAGAGTATCCATTTCGTACTTCCGGTGTATTTCTATGTACAATTCGTAGTATTGCCGAAAATGGAAATTGGTAAGGAATTATCATACTGAACCAAACCGGTGGGTACAGAAAATTCTTCTACCAATGAAGATCAGTAAAACAATCGACAACATACACAGCAAAAATTGATCGGTACAATTGTTGTGAAGATGTGATATGAGATTTTCTATCTCTTCATTTGTTTAGTTCATTTAGGCAAAGGAAATAAATATAATTGAATATTTTGCACGAAAATAAATGAAAATAATGTTTTCTGATCATATAGCCGATACATAATATTGGGTAACTTTAATCATCGATCGATCTATTTCGAAAACAATTCAGAATTTGTGCTAGTTGCTAGATCAGTCGGTTTAATAAAAATCTATCTCGAATTCTCGCAACGAACTCTAACCCTTTTGAGATGAACAAAAATTTTAATGCACATAATTGCTTTTAAATCACTCAACAGTTTCATTTTATGTTTTTATTTGAATCAGTTGATTTTTATGACTAAAACAATCGAGAAAAACGAATAAATTTCAAAAGCTATACAGTGCTTTACCGGCCTATATTGAATCAGTGTACCGGCGTGCTGGTAAGACTGATACTGATATGCCGGTTCGGTTTAGCCCTGGTGTCCCTCCCCTCATATAGGCTTTTTCTAGTAGCTACAACAGTTATGTACCACACAATCAATGAAAGCCTTGTCAACTCTCCACTATGACTGATTTCGAGTTACTTTTCTTTTATCCACATTTTCAGATGGATAAACAGTGTATACACTACTATATAAAAACTCATTCATTACTTAGATTAAATACTACTCAAAATCATGACAAATTGACCACTGCTTGCAGTCTACCATTCTCACCTGATTTTGCTCCTTCAGACTTTTGGTTATTCAGCTATCTGGAAGATAGACATGATTCATATCCAGATGCAACAAGTTTGCCGAAAACAATAATCAAGGAGCTCAATTCGACACCGGTTGAGAAATACCAAAAGACATTTCAGAAGTAGATTGAAAGGATGAAACTTTGTATCGAGTATTTGCTGTAGAGAGATCAGCTAGACGTCTTTTATATCAATAAATTTTTTCGGTTTTCAGAACTTTTTGGACAAACTATGTATATATATTTCCAATACATGCACTAGCCTCGTACATTACCTGTCATTTAAGGGTACCCTCTATTCTCAATCTCTAAAACTCAATTTTTTCGATTTCGATTTTTTTTATCGATCACAAGACCGTCAAATATCCTCTGTCGAATATCATAAGAAAAGGAAGTTTTTATTGCCATTTAAATCCTAAAAGATCACTCTAATGCATCTCTGTACAGAAAATTCAGGTTCTTTCGTCGTCTAAATGTGTTGTGTAGGTTAAGGATGAGTCTCTGACACAGCTAAATGCAATGTTATGATCCGTTTCATTGTAAACATAAAAATCCCGATGTTTAACAAAATTCATAGTTCAAAATTCATCGTATGTTTCTCAAAATCAACTTTTCTTGAAAATGAAAAGTACTGAATTGCTCCTGTTTCTCCGAGATGTCACATCCAATCGAGCTGAAAATTTCCTTGTAGATACTAGACACTGTTTTGGATGGGTACTTTTTTTGCGTTTTAAAAAATATTATTCTAGTGATTCTCGGTAGATTCTTACAAATTTGCCCTATTCGAGCAACAAGCGTCTTTTTAGATTGCGTCTCGTATTTTGGCTTTTTTTTATTTGAAAGAAACAAGATGAAAAAAGAAATAAAAAAAAGTAACCATTTCAAACAGTGTCTAGTATTGTACGAAAATTTTCAGTTCAATCAGATGCAATATCTCGAAGAAATGGGGACGAGAATTAGCGTCATTTTGAAGCCAATATTTCGTAGAAGAAAACATTATGGAAATTTGAGTCTGGCGCAACTTTTATTCGGCTACTTGAGATGTATCTGCCTTGCAAGCTTCAGAATTTCTCATTGAGTCGTTCTTTAGAAACTCCAGAAAGGGTAAGTGTGCCCTTAATAGACATCAATTATGAATTACTTTATCTATATATCATAATCAGATAATCAGTCATGCAAAAACTAAAACCTGCATGTCATCACGGTGTCCTATTCTAAGGATAAGTTCTTGACGCCATAGCTCAACAGAATTATAGTGATGTCACAGAAACTGAAATTTATAATGCCAGTTGGACTTTATTAATATTTTTATTCGATTTTCTATTTTAAGACTTATGTCTGTTAGCGTCAACAGATAGCGCTCATTGACGCTAAACATACAATTGTTATTCATTAAATTGTTTTGTTCTCTTTGATGTTCCTCTGATCTTTCGTTCATAACCGAATGATCGTGATTCATTCTGTCTGTTGTTTTTCTTTTCTTCGTTGTTGATTATTATTATTATTATTATCATTATTTTTGTTATTTGTTTAATTTGTTTACAAATAAAACTAACTTATCAATTATGTTCGGTGAATATTATTCAAACATTATGTCATCCAAGTCCGACTAGACAATTTATTGTGAACTCTCAGTTCCTTAAAGCAAACATTATTTCCAAACTAATTATTATTTAGTCTACGTATGTTACGAAGGATAAAGATATAATAAAAACTCCAATGGGAGTCTGGGTGTGGGTGAAAAGAGGATCATCATTCATATCCACACTCACATCCTCGATAAATAAAACCCTGATTTTGAAAATTGAGATCATTGTAACAGTTGATAACATCGGTATCTGACCAAAAGCACTTTTTAAAGTAGTTTGTTCGAATTTCATATCTTTCAAAAAATGACATATCACATTGTTCTACTCATTTCTTGAGAAGTTATTCTTGATTTTTATTGAAGTTGATCTATATCAGCAAAGATTAATGTAAATTATGTCATTCAATAGTCGATTATTTTTCACATCTTCAAACAAATGATAATTTTCTTTCTTTACATGTAACATATCGAGAACGAGTAAACGAGATCATCTTTCCATCGAAACATGATCACAGTTAATTAGATGCTTGGTTTGTTTTCCTAGTATATCGACGATATATTTGCACGAGAAAATATTAATGCCTTAGGACAATAAATGTAAGATGATCATTCTCTTCATGAATGCATATGAGTACAATTGACGCATTTATATTTGTGTGATTATTTAAGATACAATTTTGAATAGAAGATTTGTGACGATATACACATATCGGCGCGTAATGAACGAGATACAATGACGGAAAAACCAAAACGACGTCGAGATAAATCCTGTGGTGGACTAACATTAAAATAATATATCGATTATGCTTTTTCTCTTCTTCTTCCTCTTATGTTAGGCGTATTCACTATTATCATCACTTTACATCAAACAAATTTAGCACAAAGACAACGACTTGAAGATCAGTAATCGGCAAAAATCCAAAGAGAACAAGATTTGAATAATGCAAAAATTCAACGTGAACAAGATTTAAATACATCTGCACAACAACGGCTTGATGATCGAGAACAAGCGAAAAAACAACGAGCTCTTGATAAAGAGATGGCTGATCAACAACTCAATTCAAGCGAAGAACAACGTCGACATGAAATGAACATTGCATTAACACAATATCGAGATAATTTGTTGACTGACCACATTCGAGAGATTGGTGAATTGCTCAAAATGAATAATGGAAGTTTAACAAATGATTTTGTGACAAAAACATTGACTCGTGCGAAAACTCTGGCTGCCATTCGACAACTTGATCCAAGTCAAAATGTTGAATTAATTCGATTTTTGTACGAAGCTGGTCAGTTGTCAACTGGCAAAAATCCTCTCGATCTATCAACCGTTCGATTAAACAATATCAATTTCAGCAGTTTCAGCAATTTGAACATATCTGGTCTTTCTTTATCTGATGCATATTTATCTAATTCATCATTTGCTCATAGTGAGCTATTCAATATGGATTTTAGTAAGAGTAACTTAACAGGAGCCATTTTTATTTCGGCTTCACTTAGACGTTGCAATATCATTCGAGCACATCTCGATAACACTCTCTTCACACATAGTACGATGTTGCATGTCAATTTCAATAAGGCCAATTTGACCAATACTAGCTTTGTAAATGCCAATCTAAATACTATCAAGTTTTCTGAAACGGAAATTCACAATGTCAGTTTTACGGATGCTACTCTTCTGAATATAGACTTTTCTAATGCAAGACCCAATAGTACCGATTTTAGAAATGCCAATCTACAATCTGTCATCTTTCGTCGATCGTTACTTACTAATAATACTTTCGACTATGCACATGGCTCACAAATTTATTTTATCAATACTCACTTATTCAACACTCATATTGAAAATGTGAATTGGACCAATACTTTCTTTCAATGCCTTGGTCAGTGCTATTATTCGAACGTTGTCTTTAACAATTCTATTGTGGCAAGAAGCAATTTTGCTGATACAGTTCTTAGCACTACAATGTTTATCAATAGTGATCTATCATTTGGAAATTTCCTTCGTACTTCTTTCAGCAACGCTTTCATTTTAAATACGACAATGGACAACTCAAATTGTACTAATATTGATCTTACTTCTACTCGATTGATTGATTCAAGTTTTGATAACGCCATTTTTATCCGAGTCAAAGCTAATTCCGCTATTTTTTCTCGATGCAATATGTCCTTTGTTAATTTTGCACGAGCTTACCTGAAAAATACATGGTTTACATATAGCCATCTCGATAATGCTGTTTTCACTGATAGTATTCTCGATGGAGCGAATTTATCTCATGCTAATCTCTTCAAAGCCAAAATCAATGACGCACAACTGCTGAATACCATCTCAATACGTGGAGCTCAGTTACCCAATGGAACTTATGCAGAACGGGATCATAATCTTATAACAAATGGCTATGCCGATTGTAATATTCCTCTCACTTCTTCGTGGAAGCTCGATGAAGATAACACGGTTGTTGTCATTCGTTCAAAACAGAATGAAAACAATTGCGTTTTTGAAGCGAACAAAACCAGCGGACCAGTTCGCTTCTATCAAGTGATTTCCAACAAATATTTACAAGCAAGATGGGATCTCAAACTTGTATTAGTGTTAAGTGCTCGATTTGAAGGAAAATCGACAAGTATCACTATCGGATATTCTGGAAATATATATTCTTTGAGTTTGTATTCTCGAAATTACGATCATACTTTTGTCATATTGTTATCTTTAGATTCGACTCACAAAGAACCAATTCGTTTTCCACTAAACTATTCGATGGCAATGGAAATCATACGTGTTGCTATTATCTTCGGTCCTTCGAACGATGATCTTATACCGAGTTGGTGTGATGATATTGAGGTTGCAGTTGAAGTCAACGATGAACCTTCATGAACTGGAAAGAAAAGCTAAACTGTTTTTGTGTCGCTTTAATGTATCGGATATCCAAGAATAAATTAGACTGTTGGTATTTTAAATATTTCTCCTCTTCCTTAGATTCAATCGAACTGTTTCTACTGGCAAGAGATTCCTCATTCAATTCTCTACAAAATCGCGTATAAACGACTAGATACAGTTTCGTGATGTTATCTCAACTGAACTCAAACTGAAGGGTCTTGAAAATGAGCAAAATTTAATAATTTTTTGTTGAGTTATTGCAGTTTGAAATCTATGATACAAGAAAGATATAAGTCAGACTATACGCTGTTTTTCTACACATTCAGATATGCTCAATCTGACGGCACAAAATTCGTTTCCCCGTTTGCATCAATCTGATAAAAATAGTTGAAATACTCGTTTATACACCATTTTGTAGAGAATTGAATAGGAAATCTTTTAGCAGTAGAAACAGTTCGATTGAATCTAAGGAAGAGGAGAAATATTTGAAATATAAACAGTCTAATTTATTCTAGAACACTCAATATATATTTGTTTACAATAATTATTATATTAGTCTAGCATTTCATTTTATAAGTAAAGTTTTTTCACTGCAATGTCGATCTCTCCGGAACTTATCTATCAAATTGACATTCTTATTCATGTTTCATTGATTTTTCTTTGCGCCTGAAAAAAATTTTGTGTATTTGTAATGACAGATGAAAACTTTAGACAAAGACAAAATCACATACGAAACAAAATAATATTGTACACTAATTGAGGAGCGGAAATTTAAGAAAAAATGAACTGTCGGGCAAAGTCTACTGAGGAATAGGATGTATTCGAACAATCACGGGTATAATTGTGGTATGAAAAGGAAAAGTACATCAGCTTTTTGCTATCATAATAGTTATGCTTTTGATGAAAAATGTCATTTAGCTTTAAATACCACATCAGCAACTCATTATTATCATGAAAAGGAACATCCATTAACGTTGAGTGATGGCGTGATTCAATGAATGTACTTCTGATGAATTCCAATAAAAATGAACCAGCAATAATCAATAAAGGTTATCATTATGACCAGGTAGAAGAGATGGTTGAAAGCTATAACAAACAGGTGTGAGTGTGTGGGCGCGCGGGTTCGTCTAGGTGTGGATGTGGATGTGAGTGATCACAAGATTAATATCCACACCAACACTCATCCTATTCATAAATTAGCAACTTACTGATGCACTTGAAATCTATCAGTATCTACTTTAATACAAAATTTGACTTTTTTACCGGTTGTTTCAAAAGGTGCTCAATCACAAAACACACAGAGATCTTCAGAATTTTTTTTGACAT